AAATAAAACAGCTTAGACTAAGTGAATAGAAATTGGCCAATTCTGTTCCATGGACATTCGAAACCCCACTCTTCACGATCGCACGTTCAAAAGTTGCGCGGCCTTGGTTATAAGGTTTAGTGCATTCCTCTTATACATTATGCATCTCTTCCACGCATAATTATTAAAACATTTTGAGCTTTTCATATGCCATAAAATACTCTCGTATGAAGACGAAGTAATCGAAACATTTGAATAGTTTTTTCTTTCTATGTGCCGTGTCCTTTCACGAAGTAGGCGATCATGGCTCTCCATCTCCCTCTATTCCTTACAGCTCTCAACAAGTACATTCCCTCTGCCACTTCCCCCAAACCACGTTCTGTCATTTACTTGCTTAAGGCCGCTAGATATGTCATGCGTTGTTTTCCCTTGTCTGTCTTTTCCTCTATTCGAGCCGTGAGTATCAAATTCTCCAGGCTCTCCTTCCTCATTATGTGTCCAAGGAACCTCAACTACCTCTTCCTGATTTTAAGTATAAACCGCCTACCTATCTACTTCCTCTCTAAGATCTCATCTTGCTCACACGCTCGGTCCATGATATCATCAGCATCTTTCTGTAGAACCACATCTCCGTCGTCTCGAGTCTCTTGTTCATCTTTGAGGAAATTGTCAAACATTCGCTGCCGTAAAGAAGGAAAGATATCACGTAACAGCTCAGTATTCTTTTCTTTGTTACCAAAGAAATCCTGCTGTATCTCAATACTCTACCCAGCTTTTGGAATGCTCCCTTGGCCATTCCAATACGTCTCCGGATCTCACTGTTGCAATGACCGTCCTCTGTCAGAATGCTTTCCAGATATTTAAACTTCCGCGTCTGATTGATTCTACTGTTCTCGACCTTCAAATTGCATTTCGGTCACATCCTTTTATTGATTATCATGCATTGTGTTTTCTTTTAGTTTATGCTTAGTCCCTTCTTCACAAAGGGGATGAGTGAAACTTGAATTATATATGAATTTTCTAGCAGATTATCTAACTTATAACGCTATCTTTTATTTGAGCGTCATCTGAGGTTGAGTAACCTGAACCTTCCTCAATCTCACACGCTCGATCCATGATATCCTCAGCATCCTTCTGTACAACCACGTCTCAGTCCCCTCGAGTCCCTTCTTCATCATTGAGGAAATCGTCCAACATTCGCTGCCGTAAAGAAGGACAGGTGTCACGTAACAGCTCAATATTCTTTTCTTCGTTACTAAAGAAATCCCCCTGTCTAGTAATACTCTGCCCAGATTTTTGAATGCGTCCTTGGCCATCGCAATACGTCTACAGGTCTCAGTGTCGCACGTACCTCTGTCAGAACGTTTAAGGCAAAAAAGGCTAAAAAAATGATTTTCTTTCTTTTTGATTTTTGTTTGTAAATTGGCATAAACAGATTAGAATTGCGTTTGAAGAACACTGTAAGACAAAACGTATATTATTTGAATTAAATAAAAGTAGAATTTGATTAAATAAAAGCATTTCTTTTTTGTCATTCCCCCAAAATAGGGAACTTCTTGTGAGACAGTCTGATATATTTAGCTAATAATTGAGTTTTAATAAAACACTTTGTCCTTATTGCATTGGTGACGAGATTTATTTATTAAAAGGTGTCTTTGTAAAATTAATTTGGATAATATATTTTCTTTTATGTAAATACGCACAACCCTTGGGAAATATCAATAAAATTGTCGATCATGAATAAGTTTACATGTATTAAAAGACAATTCCTTAGAAATTTAAAATCAGTTATGTATTTATTTTTTTTTTAAAGACACGTTAAGATCAAAATCATGCCCTCAATGGTGAAAATTCTAATTTCAATATAAAATATTACTTTATTTGACAATATTTTAATTTTCTATACTGAATCATATTGTAACGATGGAATGCAAACGCAAAAGAAATATAATGTTTAAAATATTTGGAAAGGTGCTGCAAAAATTTAATCAAATTTAAATTTGCAAACTTCCTGAAAATTATTAGTTACTTTTTCTGCTTGTATTTGTACTCCTCTATCTTTATTATTAAATAATAACAGCGTTTTAATACTGGAAAATAAAGAAATTCATTAATAATCCTTCTTGAATGTAATTTATAATAGACTAGCTGGGTTACACGATGTTGCTCGGGAAATAGAAATACATTTTGTTTTAATGTGATGTTCTTTCAGGGCGTACGGAGTCATAGTATTCTATACATCCTTTTTCTTTAACATTTGTCTTATGCTATGAATTGCTAGAAAAGATAGTTATTTCCCGTTTCCTTTATATAGTCTATTACTCAGAGTGGTCTTTCATTTATATTGGCTGATACTCAAGTCCAGAAAACCTCGTCTAACCTGCTGTTTAATCCATAGCGCGGGGGAGAGGATAAATGTGTTTATGCCTTTCCCACAAGCATTATTACAAAGTGAACGCTAGATCAGAACTGAATTCGGCTCGCTGAATTCAACGTTCCTGCTGATGGCTGTTTCGCAACCTGTGCATTTGATATTAACATTCACTAATAGGGACAAAATGATATCACTTCAAAGAGAGAGCGTACAATGAAATAAATGTTTTCATACTGACGTAGTTCCCCTGTCTTTTCTATAAATATTTTCATAGAAGTTGTTCTAATGTGCGTACTACTAGATTGGCAATTAGGTCCCCTCTGTTTTACTACTGAAACTGCTAGATGGAACCGTAAGTTTTATTCCAGGATTCTCTTTTCCCCCTCTCTGTTTGTATTTGCATATCCCAGAGGATGGTTTCATCGTTATTTTGGATAACTTTGTCTGTTTGGTGTTCATACCATCTCTTACTGGTCTCGATTTTGTGATTCTTGCATATCTTCCGGTGCACATTTGTCGCTACCTTGTTAAGTCTGTGGGTATATTTATTTTTTGTTAGTTTCGAATATCCTGGGATATGGTCGACAGTTTCATCATATTTTCCGCAGATCCTTCGTTTCGGGTTATTCCATCCTTGATTACATGACTGGTAGGATCTGGTTGCGAGGCTTTGGTCCGGAGCTGCAATAATTAGGCCTTCTGTCTCAGCTTTCAGCCCGGTGCTCCTCAGCGACCGATGGGTTTTCTGTTATTCCACATGTGTTTCTTTTGTTCTTTTTCTGCTTTTGCCATGTAACGCCTTGTCCTCCCAGTTTTGTTTTGTTTTGTTTGTTTTTGTTTTTTTTTTTTGTCATTTTATTTGACCACGTTGTTTTTTGTTCTGTTTTCCTGTATCGTCTTGGTCTAGTTCCTTAATTTTGCTGTTGATATCAAGGTCGAAATTTGTCGTTTTCGTTAGTTTACCACCTTTGAAGATGGCTTTGACACATTTGTCGATTCAGAACCCCATCCTAATGTCTTCACTGAAGTTTTTGACAAAGGTGAATAGTTTTTTTTTTTTGTTTTTTTTTTTTTTCTGCTGGTTGTCATCCTTGCCAAACGTTGATTCAGTTTGCTATTCTGTGACTTGTATTCGTAGCAACTGTTGTTTAGTAGACAGCTAAGTTGAGCGAATTCAAGGCAGAAGAATGATGACAATGAATCTCCTTGGACGATACCGCTGTTTGAAATTGATTGGATTCGATGTTAATGACCCGTTTGTATGATTTAGGTTTCGTGTAGCCTTCCAGTTTATCATGCTCTACGTTATGAATTTGACCGTTTTCGGGCATACTCTCTATATTTATAGGCTCGTCTTTATCCATGAGTGCGGAACACTGTCGAATGCCTTTCTGTAGTCGATCTATACCATCAATAAATTTTGTTTTCACCTCTTCCAAAAATTAAACTTTCTCTTTAACATCCCTTCTATTCTACTGGTAGTAAATTGTTTATTGTTTGTTTTTTCCTCAGGGAAGTTGTATGTTCTCTCGATTATGAGAGAAGTAAAGGATTTTGTATATTGTTGGTAGGCAGGTTATTGGCCTGTAGTTCTTCGGATTCTGCGTCTCTTCTGTTCTGGGGAGTAGATATGTTACTCCCTACGTGAGTCATTTATCTAGATTTATGATTATATCATTGTATGACCGTGCGAGGTTGTTATACTAGAACATTACCTATTCTATTATTAATAGACTCTCCCACGCATAATAAGTAGTAGTAGTAGCAGTAGTAGTAGTAGTAGTAGTACTAGCGATCGCCAGTTGAGCGCAGTGGAGTTGAGTGAGTCAGTCGATGTCGGACATTGAAGTATCAACCATCACAACTAGATTGCTGCTTCATTAACTCTTATTTCAAGTTCCTAACGTTTTGTACGTCGGACCCTTTTACGACTGAGTTAGCGAAATACAAGCCTCCGCTGTGAAAACTACTCTACAACAGAGGTCTTACTAGATTTTTTTTATCTAAAAATTGGCTATTCGGTCTATTCGTGGGGCTTTCCAGTTTTTGGTTTGGCAGATGGCAGTGGTTGTTTCAGTAATATTGATAGCAAGCTTGTCTCGCTAGAGCAATTACGAATGAGTAGTGAGTTCGATCCTTACTGGGTGCCCCTTACTTTCCGCCTTGTGCCGCATCCAAGCTACGCTTGGAAAATCACTATCCGTCCATTGTTGGCACTCTAAATGTGCGCGTTGTTTCTATTGTTGCTTGATCCATGTTGTACTTTCATTGTGTATGTTGCAGTTTTCCAAAATCTTACACCAGAACTCCTCGACTTTCTGGATATTAGGTGGGTCATTTATGTCTATTCTATTTTTTCCAGGTCTTGATATAGTTTCTTGCCTTCTTCTTTGAAGATCTTTTTTTTTTTTTTTTGACAGAAGAATCTGTTTCTTTTACCATAAGGTCTAATTCTCTGTACCTTCGCTTAAATTTCTGTTTCAGCTTCTCTTTAACTTTTGTTACGTCAGTTTTATTCTTTATGTCAAGGCTTCGTTTCCGTTATTTTCTTTTTCTCTTTTTCATTTTCGAGCCATTATTTACTTCACTCAGAAGTGACAATTGTCACCGTAGTTTATTTATTTCAGTTTTTACTTTTTCTTTCCAGACTGACATTTTTTCTTTTTCGTTTACGTTGGGTTTTTACTTTTTCACCTGTTGTTTCTGCGATCGTTTCCATCTCCCTCTTTTCACCTTCCTTTTTCCACCACCCCCTTTCCACCTCCCTTTCCACCAACCTCTTTCCACCTCCCTTTATCTACCACCCTCTTTCCACCACCAGCTTTCCACCTCTATCTTTCTACTTCCCTATTTCCACCTCCCTTTTTCCACCAACCTCTTTCCCCCACCCCCTTTCCACCCCTCTCTTTCCACTTCCCTATTTCCACCTCCCTTTTTCCACCACCCTCTTTCCACCTCTCTTTCCACCAACCTCTTTCCACCTCCCTATATCTACCACCCTCTTTCCACCCCCTTTTCCTCTCTCTTTACATCACCCCTTTCCACTAGCCACTTTCCATCTCTTTCTTTCTAACTCCCTCTTTCCACCTCCCTTTATCCATCACCCTTTTTCTACCTCTCTCTTTCCACCACTCCTTTTCCACCAACCTCTTTCCACCTCTCACTTTCTGCCTCCCTCCTTCCACTTCTCACTTTTCAACTCTTTGTGCGTCCGTGCGGACTTATTTATATTTCAATCTCTTTCAATTTTTGAATATTTTAAAACTGTTAAATATTAATATTTTTTCTTTAAACTTTTTTGCTATATTTAAAAAATATTTTTAAGTGAAAATGATTTTAAAATATTTTTTGGCATATTAAAAAATATTTTTAATAAAAATATTTTTTTTCAGCGAATTATTTTAATTTTCTTCAAACAGACAATATTTTATGTTGAAATCAACTGCAATTTTTCATTACCTGAACCGTAAGTGACCCAGCGGGTCGCGGCTAGTCTAGTCAGTAATAAGAGTATAATAACTGTACAATGCTCTGCCCGAATCAGGTAAAGAAAAATAAGATTTGCGTCAAAAGTTAATAAAACTAATAGGTAAAGATACATATCAGGTACATCAACAAATAATATAACTTAGTAACATGTCTCTAAAATTAAAATATTATTAATCTAAAATTTAATTATTTATTATTATTGTTTTTGTTGTAATTATTTCCTTTCTGTTGCATACTCTTTTCCTTCCAGACATCTTCAGAAATGGCATCATGATATGTTTTTCACTGAACATTTTTGTAAAAAAAATAAAATAACCTGAAATTATTATTATGAGGATAAGGAGGATAGATAGCAATTGACACTTGACATGAAGAAGCGTTCGGGAAAGCAATTGCATGAGAGTTTGCCAGAGAAATTAACGGTTCTTGTGAAAAAGCTTTTTGAACAAAACTATCTTCTGGAGAAATGTGGATGATTCACCTCCGTGGATGCCTCAATGAACATAAGTTCAAATTGGTGAGACCTGTGAATGGCGCTGATCTGAACACCCGACACGAAACTAACGGCAGTGTAGTCACAGGATTTCAACACTGCGTCTGTGAAAAAGAGGTTATGGAGTGTACAATTCGTCTTCTTCGCAAAAGACCGCTTATACGATTTTGAAATCCGTCAAACTGGAAAGTGAAAATTGTGCAGTTCCAGCACAAATATGGCGGTGATATTTCATTTTTGATCTGGTTCTTGAAAACACAGAACATGGAAGGGGTCAACAAAAGAATGAATCGACCGTATTTTTTTTTTCATTTTCTTCGACAATAGATTAGATATATAAACTGCACTTAATGTCCGGAGTAAAACTAAGAACGAATAGATGTTCAAATCATGGAGCCTCATCGAGAATGTTACAGTTATTCAAATCCTAATATATGATGATACACGCATGCGTACAATACTTATGTCTTTTGAGGTTTGTGCGATGGAGGATGTTTCCCATTGCACAATCAATTCCAGTATTCGAAATATTAATTCACAAGTCGAGCGATCCCTGCTGGAGGTTCGACCATAGAGTGCCTGAATTCGTACGGATCTTCCGCCCATTATGATTGGTTGTCAAGCTCTATTAATTCTAAATTCATGACATTAATTTAAATTTTCAACAAAAAAAAAAACCTAACCATTAACTGACGGATCCCCAGGTCTTCACCGATCACATCATCAGAATCACTAATCTACACTGTATATTTTTCTCTATCGCTAATCAAAATCAGAATCAGAATCACAACTCTACACAGTGTATTAACTTAGTTTTTCTCTATCGCTAATCAAAATCAGATGCACAGCGTAACCCTCATGTCTTTACGATTTGGACAGAAGCAGAAGGAATATTATAATTTAATAATCAATTTGTATGTTTATAAACAACTATAAAAATACAAGGGTTAAATTTAAGCTCTTTCTGAAGGGTGTCTCGTAGAAGAATCGTCTTTGCCAAACAAAACCAAGATAAGCAGAGACAATCTGTTAATATTCGATTCACAGAGAAGGTAACAAAAAAGTGAGAAGAAAGGACTATTTAATTCAAGAAGACGGAATGTATATTTGTCAGCAAGCGAGGCAGTTAAAGCTTTGTGTTATGAAATGCAAACATTAGAATCAGACCGGAACAGAAATTTAAATATATCTTCTATCTTTACAAGACCGAATTCAGGCAGAAAATGGAGTCTTTTTTATATGCCGTTTCCCTTCAGGCCGTAGGCGATCATGCCTTTCCACATCTTCCTGTCACTTGTAGCTCTTAATATTTTTTTGTCTTTTATTTTTATTTTTGCCAAAACCTGTTCTGCCATCCATTTTTTCAAGCCCATTAAGTGTGTCACTCATTATTGTCATATTGGGCAAGGAGCTTACCCAGGTCTTTCCAGTGTTGATAGAGTTCAAAAGCATCTCCGAGTCATTATGGGCAACGAATTAATTGCCCCTGTTTGAGTGGAATTGATTTCTCATGAATGGAATACGAAGGGAATGTGGATGGTTTTCTACAATGTAAATGGCATGGGGGAGGGGGGTCCTAACCGTGAGGGTTACAACTAGTGGAACTACGGAATGCAGTTCGTCCGAGCACTTTCCATGGAAGTGGCCATAGAGTATCGAGTGACTTGCCACATAACGAGAGAGAGAGAGAGAGAGAGAGAGAGAGAGAGAGAGAGAGAGAGAGAGAAGTTGAAGGGTGGTCACTCACAATGACTCCGAGACGGATTTGAACTCTATCAAGACTGGGAAGTGCGAGCCGGTCATCTCCCACCCAAATATGACGTACTCCATTTTCGGCCTTATCTGTCTCTTATAAAGTTACAAGATAGTATGAAGGGTCAGTTACTTACAGGATCTGCAAAAGGAGCTGACTATTTTTTTTAAATCTTTAGTAATGTATCTTATGTAAGAGTTCCAATGAGGTACGAGGGGTCAACTGTTTATCGTGACTGGCGTTAGTCCGGGGTCTGTTTGACAATGATGGAATTTAAATAGTTTGTTTTATTTTTATATTAAATTTATCAGCTCCTCTCAGAGTCGCCCTACCGCTTGCTCCACCTGAAAATGTCTATGTAATAATGAATTTGGAAACATCAGAATAAGACCAGCTTATATGTTCATACAAATTTTTACTTCTTTTTTTTAAAATCAAAGCGTAATCACTATATCTGTATTTCTGAATCATTTACCGACCAGAAATTCCCTGAAATGAAATCCACATTAAAATGAACGAACATGGACATTTGTTACTGGCTTTTAATCGCTTTTAAAAGAAAATCAATCATTGGTGTCAAATGTAGTCGACAATGTTGCTGTCATTATACATGTCCAAAAGTACATTTCGAACACTCTCCTCGAGGATGACTTCAAGATTTTTGGCCAGACTGATATTAGATGCATTCTCTAGCTAAATGGTACATCCATCATTGAGGAATAAAATCGCTTTTTCTAAACTGTACATGGCACCAATTGATATTCATATTTGAGTATCCATTAAAAATAACGTTTAAACAAATAATGTAAAAATATGTCGGATTTAATCCATTTTCTAAACAATCGTCTTTTTTACGTTATGATACGAAACAGCAGATATGCATATATTGAGAATCGAGAAACATATCTGTTCAAAAGCACTATTCGGACGTTGTTGATCAGGAGAGATCAAGGCACATCAGCTCTAATGACTGTTTTCCCCAGCGGACGCAGGTTCTAATCCTGCTGGAGGGCGGTAATTTTCTAACAAGATCTCACACATATACATATATATATATGAAAATTGGTTGTATTTGAGTAGCAATGTCTCTTTTATACAAGTTTTGTTCAAGAGCAATGAATTTCGTTGGTTAAGGATTTTAAAAAAATATTTTTCTATTTTTCCTGTCAGTATTTGCATAATAACAGTTTGTTTTCGCCTAAATAAAGATAGCGCATTTAAGGCAAGTAGAATTTGCAAATAAATGGTTCAGTTTTAAGCAATAGGGCATTAATAATGCAAGAAATGAATATGAATCTCCAGAACTTTGAATTCCCTTTAACTACGATGCATATGCATATATATATATATATATATATATATATATATATATATATATATATATATATATATATATATATATATATCGTTAAATATGACAGACAAGGATATTTTAATGAAATTTAATTTACTTTTCAAGACTTTCCGTTTAGTCTTTGAATTCCCTTAACTACGATGCATATATATATATATATATATATATATATATATATATATATATATATATATATATATATATATATCGTTTAAATATGACAGACAAGGATATTTTAATGAAATTTAATTTACTTTTTTCAAGACTTTCCGTTTAGTCAAAGCAAAAGTTTTCCATGTTGTCCATTGTGCACAGTCCTTTCAGACACTTCTTTATTCCTTTTCAAAGAGTCCGTCTTATGTGTGTTTAATTTACCTTCATGTTTTAGCCGTTTAATAATTAAATTAATTAAATTTTCTTTGTCTGTCATACTTAACTAGAGTATATAATATATATATATATATATATATATATATATATATATATATATATATATATATATATATATACTGTCCAAAATTATCCAAATCGTTTAAGGGCAAAATTGTTCAATTGTTAGATTAAGGTTTGAACTATTGTATCGTAGAAAAGATTAAAGATATAGTGCTGGAATTATCTGAAGTTTTTATAACACTATGATATTCTACAATAAGAATGTATTTTGAACTGTTGATCCCTCTTTCTTAGTGTTCCCTATATTTTAAACTTATTCACCGTTCACTTGATGGTTTTTGAATGGACTCTAAAAATTGAGGCCACATGTTGAAAGTTCGTACCATTACCGAAGGCTTGAATGATCTTTTTCATCTCACCATTGAGTTGGGAAGATATAGTAAGGGTTCAAACAAAATGATTTAAGCTGTTCTCTTTCTAGCTGAATAACTCAAAGGGATTTTTAATGATTCTTACGACAAACCGTGTCAAGATGGCCAACCGGATGGACAATTATCCCATGCTGTTACACGATTTGAACGATTTTGTTGT